TGACCACCCTCTTGGACCAATCACAATACATGCACACTTTCACCTTTCATTTTCATTTGGTCATTTTGTCAACCAATAGGTTTTCATGCACCAATTTCCTTTCCTTCACATTGGTTAAATATCCACCTTTCATTATCCTTCCATTCCTTAATCTATCTTCATGAATTCTTAATGCATTGCCATTTCATCCACCTTACTTTTGTCCAATAGTCTTTCATGCATTCTCCCACATTATTTCTCATTTGACCTCCCATTTAGCAAATAACATTACATGCATATACATTTCTTTTCTTTTAGTCCAACATTGCCACCTGTTGTCCATCATGTATGAATCCTCCATGCATTCCTTTAACTTAAAAATCCACATGCATGTATCATTTTATTTATTTGTCTCATTCCTTTTTATTTGTCACATGGTAGGGGTCCCATGTATTCCCCACTACAAATACATTCTTGTATACATACCTTTGCATGTAATAGTATTTGTTACATACATAGTCCATCCTCCCACATAATCTAATTTTCCTTGTTAAGTTAATTTCCATTTAACTTAAAATGGTGAAATTGCACATCAGTCGTCAATTTTCTCTTTATTTACCATTTGACCTCAAATCTTTTATCCTTTTCAATTTGATCCTTCAAGCATTTCATAAATTACAATTTGATCCTTTAACTTGTTCATAATTACAACTTCACCCCTTTACTTTTCATTATTTGCAATTCCACCCCTCAACTTCTTATTCCTTTCAATTAGGTCCTGTCATCATTTCTTTAACTCCGATTTCCTTCTATTTTTCTTCCTTTGCACTTGTGCAAATAAAATATCATACTCATACTTCACCAAGGTGTCACCATAATATTTAAATATATACTTACCGTCTTTTGTTTTGTTTAATAAAGCAGGCGAGGCCCACTTACGTCATTTTTCTTTTAAATTCTTTCTTACTTTTTCTCCTTCACTAGATTAGTCATACAGTCCTCCTTCATGATTGATTTCAACAATAGATAAAATATCAATATTTTAATATTATTTTATTTCAAAATTCTCCACTTGCCTCCTCAGGACCCAAATGTCTCATTTTGTTCTAGTTCACTGCCAAATCGTATTTTTAACTCGCTAATTCATTCTCGATAAAATATTATTATTTTATTATTATTTTCTCGTATATGGAATATTTTATTCCAAGATATTCTTTTCCGCCTATATCCACTCTTCCACACTTAAATTAGCATCAATTGGCCCTCGTCCAATTGATAAGGTCGTATTGACTTCTATACGAAGGTACAGGGTGTTACAAGTTATGCTTGAAAGAAGGAGAAAATCACATCACAAAATAAAGTAGTGCAATAGAGACAGCACAAGAGAGAAGCACCATAGTGCCACCCAAGAGACAAGGCCGCAATGCCCGATGAGTTACCAAAAATTTATTTTTTAGGAGATTTTGGAAACTAATTTTTTTGTAGCCTATTTAAAGGGCCTTTTTTAGATGTTTTGAATAAAGAAGAAGGCAGCCAGTAATTTCTCTGAAGAAAAAGAGTCAAAAATAAAGCAAAAAGTAAGAGAATTTGAGGAAGAATCAAGATCACAAAGCTTCAACTATTAGTTTTCTCTCTTTACTTTTATGTGTTTTTTATTTTCTTAATTTGGATTACTGACTAATTTTCTTTGGATGAAGTTTTTATTAGATATTATGAGCTAAATTATCTATTTAGGATTGTGGTGAATTTCAACATGCAATTTGAATATTTTTTTCTCTTTTATTTACTATGAATGGGTATAATTTTGCTTATTCAAATATGTTCATAATGCTTTTAATTGTCTGACCGATAATTAACTGATTTGTGAATCTAATTAAGACTTGACAGAAAGATTTTAGATTAAGTTAAGACTTAAATTGTATATGTTCACGTCACTTAGGTGATCTGATTCGCGATTCGGGTAGACATACGCCTATTCCATACATAACCAAATTAGGACACTAGCTTAATGAACTTAATTTAATTAATTCCTAAAGACATATAGTGACCCAATTAAGTTAAGTATTTGTGCAAGCATCTCGATGGAAACTTGTACATATCTTTGGATTTTAGGTTGGTAAAACCACCCATGCATATAAATAATAAGAGAAGTTGATATCAGATGAATGAACCCACAATCCTAGGTTTTGGTATATTGCCTTTCTCAAATGACTTTTTATTTCTATTAATTAATTTAATGTTTGATTTAATTTAGTTTCAATTAATTTTATAAAAAATCAAGTTACTTGAATAAGATTAGTTTGTCATAATTTTAATACTTAGTGAAAAATTAAGTGCAAATTCCTGTGGGATATGATTCTGGATTTACTATCTATGTTAATTACTTGATACGTATACTTGTGTGTGCAAAATCAACAATAGCCTTGTTTCCTAGTTCTGTTGCCTCTTATTATGTGAATCATTTCAAGAAAAAGACTATTTTTGAGGTTTCAAATTTTAACTGCCTTTTGAATTCCTTGGACTCTGCTTCAACTTTGTAGCTTGGATAGTCATTTTCTGAATTTAAGGTTTGGACAACTATTGAAAATTGTGATGCTAACAAAACGCCTAGTCCCGATGGTTTCCACATGTCCTTCTTTAAAAACTAGCGAGGTAAGATCAAAGATGATGTGATGAATATTTTTTCTAATTTTTAACGAATTGGGTCTCTGAATAAAAGAATGAATGCTTCCTTTTATCTCATTGATTCCTAAAAAATCAAATCCAGAAAACCTCTTTGATTTTTGACCCATTAGTCCTGTAGGCAATCTTTATAAATTGGTGGTGAAAGTGTTGGCAAATAGGCTCAGGTAGATTGTTGGTCCTTTTATTGGTTGGACACAATTCACTTTCACAAAGGGTTGTCAAATATTGGATTGTGTTCTTGTTACCAATGAGATTATTGATCTGATGAAGAAAGATTCCCATCAAGGCTTAATTTTGAAAAGGCTTTCGACAACATTGATTGGGATTTTATTGATTTTATCTTGAAGAAATTAGGATCTTAGTCTAGATGGTGTCAATGGATAAATTCTTGTATCTCGATGGCCTTCATTTCTATTCTCTTCAACTCCACTCCCACCAAGCAATTCAAGATGAATAAGGGCTTTGCTAAGAATGCCCCCTCTCCATGTTTCTATTCAAATTTGTCATGAAGCTCAGAGTTCTATGATCAACCAAGCTGTTTCAATGGTTGTTTTATAGGGTATCAACATGGGTAGAAATGATCTAGTTATTTTTTGTCTGCGGGTTGCAAATAGCTCTCAAATGCTTGAAATCCTTATATTTTGATTTGGATGAGGTTTTAGTAGAAAACGTGTTTTTAGCCAAATGGGGAAAAGTCTGAGATTTTAGGGCTCTTAAATAAGTGTAAAAAGTCCAAAATAATTTTATTATTTTCAAGTTTATACATAATGCATCGGTAAATTGTCAAATCTATCAATACATTTGGTTCTATTTAAAATCTATTGATAAATTTATAAATGTATGGTTAAATGTTCTTCAAAACCCCTTCTATGTTTGATCTATTGATACAATATAAACATGTATGGATGGATTTGTTGTAAAATGCACATTTTAAGTTTAAAATAACCCCTCTTTGGCCCTTCAATGGTCTAAACTTTCAAATAAATATACTTGGTTATCAAAACATGAAATTTCTAAGTCATAATGATCCATAATTCAAGTTCAAAGACTCCAAACTAATAGCTCACCAAGTTAGATAACTATTGTAACTTTAAGTAAAAAGTGCAGTTTCACCCAAATATACCTATAAATAAAATAAGGCAACATCCACTTTAAAGACACCTGCACGACACAACCCCAAAGCATACTGTTCAACATAAAAGCCCAAATCCAGCTATGCAAACCCTTGGCTTTTGTCTTTTTAATTCTTAACTATCATAGCTATTTGTCCAAGCTCTTAGAGAACCACCATTGTATTCAATATTGTCTATTACAGATACTGATATTTGATATATCTGTAAGCCCCTTGGGCGTTTGCTTATTCAATACAATCAAACCAAGTACACTAGTTATCTAAATTGTGCAACATTCAACTTTCTGTCTTGGTCATTTGAGCAGTCTATCTACTTTGATTCTAATTTGTTCCTCAGAATTATTACCTTGTTTTTCTAGTTAGCATTGTGGTATATTTTGATGTTTTAAGCCAGAAGATAGGTTAATCATATAATCCAATCTACCCGAAGATGTTTTTCAATCAGTTCATTTCTACCAACCATTTCGCTTTGGAAGCCGGAAGTTATAAAGGTCACACTTTACTATTTTTATCCAAAAATAACTTACATATCCAACAAAATTGGTGTAACAAAAAAATTTTAACAATAGTATAATATTATTTTAGTTTTTTATATTATTTCAATATTATAATTTCCTCTCATTGTCAATTCTCTTCATGGCAATCTCTATCGATTCAATCGCCAATAATTTCTTCTTCTTGTTAGTTTTTTCTTTCAAACTGCCAGTACAATTTGAGATGGCGACATCATTTTATTTATATTTCTTCACACCTTACCAAGAGTCTGAACATTCAAACTTAAGCCCTCCAATGGAATGTTGGTCTATTCTTGGGTTTAGAGGCCTTGAAAAGGCCCATTATATGGGTCTATTAATGACTTTTAAGTTGTCTTTTCCAGAGTTTTCTGGCCTTTAGGCCCGTGGGCTATGTTCCTTGTGTTAGTCGGCCTAATAGACTATGGGCCGTGAGCTTTTTCTTATTCAAGCTCAAAAAATCTTCTTCTGGCTTGATATGATTAAGCTTGTTGAGCTTCCAACCGAGCTCAACATTCCGTAGTTGTGACGCAAGCCATTTTATAACAATTAAAAGCTTAATTGATTTAATGGTAAGTATATATATTAGGATTGACTTTAACAAAATATATATTATCTCCTTAGTAATTTTCACTCTACAAGATATTTTCTTTATAGAAATAATATATTAAATTTTGAGTTTGATCAGATTGAAAGATTTTAAAATGGCCTACATATTGATGAAACATTTGTTTTTTCTTAATACAAAACACTAAAAGTTTCCATTTTTTTCTTGGGGAATAGCTTAATACTCATTTTAATTTTAAGGCTGCAGTCTGCAAATCGCTTTTTCTCCTATTCAGAAATAGCTGCTAGCTCTCTGTTAATGGGCTTCTTAGGCTTCTTGTCATCTTCAGAGGCAAAAGGATTTGGTGGCATTGTCAGACTCTCTGCTTCTCCTTCCAACATTTGAACCACAGATTTCATTGAAGGACGATCAACTGGATACCACTGAATGCACCGAAGTCCAACAATTGTAAGTTTCTTTGCTATCTTGTGATGCCCTTCATCTTCGATATCAATTCCTAATTCTTCTCCTTTGTCTAAACGATTATAAACCCACTCCGGGAAGTACACTTGGCTTTCATTGGCCACTGTCACATCAATATTCTTTCTCCCTCCAACCATTTCAAGCAAGAGCATTCCAAAACTGTAAACGTCTGATTTGTATGAGACATTTCCAAAGTTCCTAGACAATACTTCAGGTGCAATATAGCCCATGGTTCCTCTTGCTGCTGTCATTGAAACAGCACTTTGCTCTTTGGAACATAACTTAGCCAAACCAAAATCAGAGATCTTAGGAGTGAAGTTCTGATCCAGTAAAATATTGTGAGGTTTGATGTCAAAATGGAGGATCCGTTGCTCGCAACCTTGGTGAAGGTACTCAATACCTTTGGCTATGCCTAAAGCAATTTCATGAAGCTTCTCCCAACAAAGGCAACGATTCTCACCCTTGGCTGCAAATATGAATTTCTCTAAGGACTCATTTGGCAAGTACTCATAAACAAGGGCTCGGTTATACCCATCAGCACAAAAACCAACTAAGCGAGTAACATTGACATGGTGGATTCTTCCCATTGAACCAACTTCGTTAACAAACTCTTCACCATTTCCCTTGAAGTTATTGAGAACCTTAACAGCCACTGAAACATCATTGGAAAGTGTTCCTTTGAACACAGTACCATAACCACCCTGTCCAAGTTTTTCCTTGAACTGGTTTGTTATCCTCTTAATGTCAGCATAGGAATATCTTGAGGGCTTAAGAGCTTTGTAATCCTCCAAAAACTGTTCGATCTTGCGTTGACCCTCTTTCTCTTTTTTATTCAAGTGGTGCAACCAACAGAGTCCAATGACACTCAATAAAAGGAGAAGTGATCCTACGGCTAAACCTGCAACTAACATGATCCTAGTCAGAGATTAGAATGCTCCATCAGATCATGTCTTTTCTCAACATAAATTTAATGTATGGAACAACCATGTACCTGAAATGATTAGCTTCATTCTTGCACCTGGAAAACATTCAAAAATGATCAGCATGCTATATTTCTCAACATCAGTACAAAAATCCTATATCATTACTCTATATATAGTTTCCCTTAAGTTTCTAAAACATTCAAAATAGATTTCGGCCCTACAAATTAATGTTTTCTTACAAGTTTGAGATAAGATATGTGCATAAGATTTTGAATAAATGAGATTAAATCATAGGTAAAAAAGAAATTTCAAAAAAAAAATCATAGGTAAAAAGAAAGTATTGATTTAATATGAATCATAGGTAAAAAAAAATCATAGTTTTAACGATACAATTTTTGCTGCACTTTCCTTTTTTCATTTAGAATTATATTACTTCACATTATTATTTATTTCATTTAGTATAATTTTTTCACTTGATGACAATTTTTTTTATTTCCAATTAAGCAGAAACTTCATTTATTTCACTTTAAAATTTACAATATGGTTTAATTATAAAGATAAATATTTTATTTTTATTATTTATTAAAATTAAATAAAAATTATTATCAAATAATTTTTTAATATTACGGTCAACTAATCTTCTGAATTTATTAAACACTATTTTAATCTCTGTTTATAAAATTTTTAAGACGATTCTATTGTGACAACACTTTCCACGAAACAAGCTCCTAGTCGACGTAGACCACAATTTTTAGTAAAAGTCAAAGTAAATAAAAAGCCGAAATGACCCATTTCTCAGTCCCCTACCACTTTCCCAAAATTGCCAAGAAAGCACAAAAATAATAAAAAACAAGATCCCAAAATGACTCATGTTTGTAATCTCCATTTACTTTTTATTTGTGGGTTTTTTTTTTTCCCCGGAATGAGCTTATTATTTTATTATTAATTAATATCTAGTCAATCTTTAAATTCTATAATATACTGTAAAAATTAAAATGTTAATATAAAAATATTTTTGTTATTTTAATAGTAATAATAAAAATTATGTATGGGGTTGAAGCTGGCTGACCCTGACTTAGATTTCAAAGCATGGACCCTTTAGAAGTCTTAATGAAAAAAGAAGTAGAACTGGTAATCAACACTGAATTCAGATTTCAGAACAATACTAGTTAAAAACTCATATGTATGTGGTACCTTTGTCTTCCCTGTGGATGGAATAGCACTCTATGCCCGATGTGTTAGAAGTATTGGGTCGACATCCTTGGCCTTTTACTTCACATAAAAACCCACACGGCGGTTTGGTCCAATTAAAGTCAAATTTGTTTTCCCTGTTGTACATCATCGCTCGAGGAACTTCAGAGATATCTACAGCCTTCGTGCAACTCAACAGGTCGTCGTTTCCAGAATCAGAATCCTCGATTTTAACATAGAAGCCAGACCCACTTAAGCAAGGGATGCTACTGTAAGCATCATAATATTCGGATTGATCTTCAATTGAACAATTAAACAAAGTGAAGTTGCCCTCGCTGTAATAGTGGGAATCTGAGCTGTACATGAAAGGAGATGCAGATAAAATGAGATTTTGAAGCTGCTTTTGGACACATCCATCTTGATCATACACCTGAATCCTCTGGTGTACATAATCTATACGCTTCACCAATAACTGGACCGAACGGGGCAGCTCCAGCACCGTTTGGTTCTTGTTGTTGCAGGACAGGTCAAACCCAGATGAGCCGCAGTGGTCCGGTTGGCGGCCTTTCAATCGAAAGGGGTACCGAACGGGTGGCTGGCCGTGTTTACAGTGTTTTGGCTCGCAGACATCTTGATCTGGTAAGGCTGGACCAAGACCAACTGCTGAAGCAATCAGTAGCAAGAGGAAGTGAAAGAGGATAATTACCATTTGCATCTAATCTGGGCAGTTGCACGTCTATTCTTGTAGCCTCAACTACACTCCTCATATTTATCGTCCGAGGCAGAGGCAATGGTTCTAAAGGGCATAGGTTAGGCAGCATGGAGAAGACTCAAGTGCCCAGTCAACTGATCTTTTATCTCTTTAAAGTTTTAAGCTTGTTTGTGAAATTTAAAAATTCTACTATAAACACTGTACAGGTAAGTTTTCTTTTAATTCCTGTATTTATAGTGTAATGAACCCTATAAACTTGCTTGTAGAATTTAAAATTCCCACCTCTATTAAAGGTTTTGCAGCGTTTGTTCCTTGCTTACCCTCCAACACTCAACATTATTACATTCTCTCGATTAACTATTTAACATCATTATTATTTAATTGTATCTTCTGTCTCTTTGTTGATGATTTATATGTTGAACAATGTTTACTAATATCATTTATTCATAAAAAAATAGAAAAAATGGGCAATGTATGTATAAACTAAAAATATAAAAAAATAATAAAAACTATTCACATATTCTAAAAGCATGCGAAACCAAAATTTTTTAATGAGATTACATTCATAAAATCCAACTTAAATAATTGAAAACAAAAAATTATTAATATTAAGAAAAAATGAGATCTTTCATAAGACTAAAAAAAAGAAATGGTAAGTTTTAAAATATTGAAAAATAGATTTATAAACATCATTAATCCTAAGAAAGAAATGAAATATTATTTTTAAAAAAAGTGCTATTAATTTAATTTTATTTAATTCAATTATCCTTTTCATATACATTTAATTAAATTATTTTTTACTATCAATAAATGGTCCCACTAACTCAGAAAATTCTTGATTACTACAATTTCATTTAAGGTTCCTTTGTCCTTTTACGCGGATCACTATTAGCGCGTTGAAGCTTTTCAATGCTTTTAAGCTTGAACAGTCAACAAACGCGTACTAGGCTTCTTCTTCGCACCTGCGGAATGGTGGGGACTTTTATAAATCAATTTGGGTCAGGATTGATCCGCACTTTCGGAGCATACGATTCGGGTTGAGGAACAATCCTCAATTTTATTTAATTTTAAAATATTATAAAATTTAATATTAATATTTTGAAAATTAAAATTTAGATATAAAACAATTATTAAATAATGTAATAAGTTAATATAATAATGTACAGGTCTATTACTGAAGCATCTACTCAGTTTATCAATTTTTTGTAATTTTTTTAAAGATGCACATAGTAAGTAATTTGTGACAATATATATCCATGATAATGAAGATGATGGTTATAATATTAAGAAACTGTTAATTGTGTCTAAAATATGATTAATTAATCATATTATTATTTATTTTTATAATTCATGATGTATTTATTATTTATTTATTTAATTGTGTTCACGTGTTGTATATATATGTTTAGTACACGGTTAAGGCTCATCTATTAATTTATGTAATAACTAATACTTTTATAATGATCAAAATTTTTTGATATAGAAGTTTATTAAATTTGATAAATATTATTAATATTTATAATTTTTTGTTGTAAATTTGAATAATAGAATCACATGTTACTTCTACATATTTTAATTTAATCATTTTAATCATGTTAATTGTATCAATTGTGTGTTAATTGTGTGTTAATTGTGTGTAAACAAGTTGTAAATTATATGAATTTTAATCGTATTAATCATGTCATGTTGTGTGATACGTTTATTAAACACATCCGAGTACATGTTTAAAATACTGATATAATTAATTAATCGTATCGTATTCATGTTTATTCGTATAATTATTAATATCATTCCAAGCACAATTCTAACAAATTCTTTCATATCTTGAAAAATAAAATGACTCAGAAAAATAGAGTCAGAAAAGCCCCACTTTTCATTAACAAGATGAAGAGATAATTATATATGATTCTAATCTTAGACTTCTTTTAAGTGCAAGTAAAGAAAAAGTTAATAAAGAAAGATTATAGAAAGGAATAATTCCCATAAATAAAAGATCCTCCAATACTCTTTGTCGCAACGTGCGGGTCCAAGAACATGATCGTTAGATGTGGATAACTTAGGGAGTCACCACCAATATTTTTTATCTAGGTGCAATTGGCCGCTTGTTAAATTTATTCTATTTGACGAAGTTATAACTTAACTTCAGATCCGTCTAAAGAATAACAAACTGGTCTACATATTTTTTTTAGAGTTAGGTTTAGGAGTATGGTTACACATAGGGAAAGATTAGTATTCCTATGATGTCCGTTCCATGAACGGTATCATTTAATTATACGTTATCCTAAACCATTAATTTTATTCTTATATTTCTTTAATTATTGATTTTATCTTTCATTCTATTAACAAATTAAAACATTTTATTTAGTTTTATGAATGCAATGTACATATAATGTAATTATGAAATGCATGGCATAAAATTTAGAAAATACGAAACGAAAACCTTATTTTGAAAATACTTTTGAATCTATCCATCATTCTAGTAAGATCCAAGAATACTCTCTCATCCAGGGAAATACTTGAGAAACTTGCATTCACAAATTTAATAGGTAAATCCCATCACCAGGATAGTGGTAACTCTATTATATAGAGTTATTTTGACACATTTTGGAGGCTTAAGTAGCTAGATCTTTGAGATTTTAGGTTCGAATTTTAGCATTTTAGGTGTTTTTTTAATTAAAGTTTGATTACCTGTTAAGTAATTAATTTAAGTTATTTTAGTTAAATTTTATGTCATTTTGTTTTAAATTACTTTAAGAGCAGTTATTGCTAATTTCTCTTATGGCTTTTGTAGGAAATTGATGAAAAAGGCTCATTTGATAAAAATCAGTACAAGTATGGTGATGACTTCATTTGCATATGTTTCGGTATTTTGACCATATCTCTCTCTAAAAAACTCCAAATGAGGTGATTCTTAGACCGTGAGAATTATAAGAAGAAGGACTATAACGTTTATGTTTACAATTCACTCAGTTATAATTGGATCATGGTCAAAATATTTGTCAAAGTCGGAGCACTATAGTAATACGTAATGACTGAACATGATGCAGTATTTGGAGCATAATCCAGAAGTCCAATTGATGTGATTCATGATCTATTGGAAAGTTAAGAGACAAGGATAAAACTTTTATGTTTGCTACTTTGCTCAATTCGAAACATATGAGGGTGAAACTCACATTTGAAGTTGATAGACTGCCACAGCGTTGGGAGAACAAGACTACAACATTGATGAAAGGAAGCACACATACAAATTTTCAGAGAGCTCAGCGCTGCAGCACTGGGTGACTTTCCAAAAATAAGAGAAGTTTACGAGATTTTAAAAATTAGGTTATTTGGAACCTATTTAAGGGACCTTTGTCATAGATTTTGAGAAGGAGGCAGGAAGCAACGATTCTGGAGATTTGAAGCCAAGAATAAAGTAAGAAAATAAGAGAATTGGAGGAAGAATCAAGATCACTAAGCTCTAACTATTAGTTTTCTCTCTTACTTTTATGTTTTTCTTATTTTTTTTTTGACTTGGATTCATGGCTAAATTTCTTTGGATATTGTCTTTATTAGATATTATGAGCTAATTTATTTTTCTACAATTGCAATTGAACTCGCATGTAATCTAAATTTTTAATCTCTTTCTTGCTTATTTTCAATGGGATTTGAATTGTTTATTCTAATTTATTCTTGATGCTTTTAATTGCTTGGCCACCAGTTAAATTAATTTAGGAACCTAAACAAGCTTGAAAAAGAGAGTTTAGTGTAGACTAAAATTGAGATAGCATATGATCATAATACTTAATTTGCGTATAAGATAGGGATATACCTATAGGCCATATGTAGCCAGATT